AGTCCCGCTGGAGGTCCAGCCACAGGGCAGAGAGGCCGAGGCCTTCCCCTGATAAGGACACCAGAAGAGCCCTGCTGGGTCACACCAGGGAGGGTCCCTCCAGTGCAGCCTCCCATCTCACACAGGGGCCAGCCAGTCCCTCTGGAGGGCCAGCCACAGGGCAGAGAGGCCGAGGCCTTCCCCTGATAAGGACACCAGAAGAGCCCTGCTGGGTCACACCACGGAGGGTCCCTCCAGTCCAGCTTCCCGTCTCCTGTCTCAACCAGTTCCTCTGGAGGGCCAGCCACGGGGCAGAGCAGCCGAGGCCTTTCCCTGATGCTGCCTCCTGTCTGTGGGATTCAGAAGATTAGTCGCCATGGGCGGTAGCCATGAAATCTATCCAATCCCCATTTAAATCTGTTTATGCCTGTGGCCATCGCAACATCCTCTGGCAGCGAATTCCACATTTTAATCACCCTCTGTGTAAAGCAGTGTTTCCTTTTGTCCATCCTGAACCTACTGCCCGTCAGCTTCATCGAATGCCCTCGAGTTCCAGAACTTTGGGAGAAAAAGAAAAAGTTCCAGAACTTTGGGAGAAAAAGAAAAAGTTCCAGAACTTTGGGAGAAAAAGAAAAAGTTCTTTTGGTCAGCTCTCTCCACTCCATGCATGTAAACCGTTATCATGTGTGTCCCCCCTCCCCCAGTCGTCTCTTTTCTAAACTGAAAAGTCCCAGACTCCAGCCTTTCCTCTTAGGGAAGGGGCTCCAATCTGCTAATCATCTTGGCCGTGTCCCGGCCCCCCCGCCCCGTACTTTTCCCAGCTTTGCAATGTCCTCTTGGAGATACGGGGGCCAGAACTGTATGCTGTCAAATCAGGCCCTTTCCCCACCCAACAGTGTGAGTTTCCCCTTCTCCGCTTGCCAGGGAGGCAAAGAGGCCTTTGCAAAGACACTCTGCAAGGGGCCTCCTCCCTGCAAGACAGCCCCGTGGAGCCACCTGGTGGCCTGTTCCAGTTCCCGCATCCCTCCCGGCCTCTGCAATCCCACCCGCTGTAGCTGAATAGCGTGTGCCGCTCCCTCTAGGCCCATGACAGTGTGGCTCGCGGTCCACTCTCAGCATCCGTTAGGCTCCTGCCACCTGAGAAAAAGCGCAAGTGTGGATCTGGGCCTTTAAGAGTCTCTGTGGCACGAATCAGTCAGTCCTAAAGGAAATCAACCCTGACTGTTCCCTGGAAGGCCAGATAATGAAACTGAAGCTCAAATACTTTGGCCACCAAATGAGAAGGGAGCACTCACTGGAGAAGAAGACCCTGATGCTGGGAAAGACTGAAGGCCAAAGAAGACGGGGACGGCAAAGGATTGAGATGGTTAGACAGTGTTATCGATGCAACGAGCATGAAGTTGAGCAAACTTCAGAGGACGGCGGAAGACAGGAGGGCCTGGTGGGAGCTGGTCCATGGGGTTGCGAAGAGTCGGACTCGACCGTGCGACTGAACAACAGAAGAAATCGACCCTGACTGTTCCCTGGAAGGCCATAGACTGAAGCTGAAGCTCAAATCCTTTGGCCACCCAATGAAAAGGGAGCCCTCGCTGGAGAAGAAGACCCTGATGCTGGGAAAGACTGAAGGTCAAAGAAGAAGGGGATGGCAGAGGATGAGATGGTTGGACAGTGTTATCGAGGCAACGGACATGAAACTGAGCAAACTCCGGAGGACGGCGGAAGACAGGAGGGCCTGGCGTGATCTGGTCCATGGGGTAGCGAAGAGTCGGACTTGACTGTGCGACTGAACCACAACAACAAGCACCAACAGGACTCTCCACACACTCACACCCAATGCTCCCTCTAAGCCGTGGAGTCTTGTGGGCAAAAAAATCTACTTTGTGAGCTACTACGGGCATGAAAGTGGTGAGCGAGCGATTTGGCTGCTGCATCAATTAAGTTTGCTCTGGAGCCCCCTCCCTTCCCGAGCCAAAAATGTGAGCCGGAGGCTAAAAAACTGTGAGCTGGCCCACACTCACTCAGCTTGGAGGGAACACTGCCCCCCACCACCCCTAAATTTCACTGTGTGCAGAGATCTGCCTACATCAGCTGCAGTACTTAACCTGTGCAGATCTGAGCCTCGTCCTCCTGCCGATTGGGGCACCTCCATGCATGCATGTGTGGGGGGGGGGGGTTTAGTTTCTCTGCATCAAACCAGGAAGGTGCAGCTCTTCAGATGTTCTTCATTCACACGGCAACCAGATGTTACATGCCACTTCTGAGGAGAAGCCTGCTTGTTCCCTCGGCCAGGGGCCATGGAGAGGGGCGGCCCAGTTTTAAACAAAACCCTGCTGCGGAGTGGGCTCATCAGGACTGGGAACACTCGAGTGAAAGAGGACATTGGGGGAGGTCAGCCCGCCCAAATTAGGGACCCCTGTAGCTACAAAAAGACACCAGGAGGCCTGGCCTCCCACGTCTCACCTGCTCTGGTTCCAAAACTCAAAGGGACACGCCCACCCACCCTCAGAGTTGACCCCCCCCCCGGAGTCATAAGAACATCAGAGGAGCCCCGCTGGATCAGACCGAAGGCCCAGCCCTTGTCTTCCCCTACCTGCATCCCTTGGCAATGAGTTCCACAGTTTAACTGCGCACTGTGTGAAGAAGTCCTTTTGCCTGTCCTGAATCTCCCCCCCTCCCTTAGTGGATGACCCTGGGGGGCGGTTCTGGTATTATGGGAAAGGGAGACCAACTTCTCCCTTTCCACTCTCTCCATACATATATATATACACATATATATAGAGAGAGAGAGCGCAAGCCGTGCTGGCGACGACTCACCTACTCATATATATATAGCAAGCCGTGCTGGCGACGACTCACCTACTTTCCAATTGGCCACTGGGGAAGCTGCCTCGGTGTCCTATTGGCCCGTCCTGCCGGCTCCTCCATTCTTACACCCCCACTTTTGGCGCATTGCACCTTGGGAGTTATAGTTCTCAGCTGGCCTTACTGCAAACACAGCAACGGGAATTAGAACTACAACTTCCAAGCGGGGAGTCCCAAGAGGCTGTGGGGCATTAGCAGGCAGTCAGTTAAACTGTTAATCAGTTAAAGTGTTAAACGGGAAGCAGCTTTGGAACTGAAAGGCGTTGGGGGAGGAAAGGGAAGGCCTGGACCTTACTCTGAATTACAACTGATCTCCAGACTCCACAGTGTAGAGGGAGCATTGGAGGGAACCATACCAGTTACCATGCAGCTCTCCTCTCATACTACCCACTCAGGGCAGCGAAATGACTCGTGACAGCCCTGCCTTATAGTTAAGCAGGAGATAAAACATTGCTTGCCTCCCTATTTTCCCCTCCCTCCGCCACCCCACCACCCATGGCCGGGACACTCACCTGGAGCCTCCTTCTAGAGTCCGTTGTATTTCTTCCCACAACGGACTTTACTCCTAGTAATTTTATAAACATCTATCGTGTCTCACACACACACACACACAAATGGGCAAGCGGAAGCCATTTCCATGAGGTAATGTTTATTCTGTCTCCTCCACGAGCCCCTTCAGCGGCTCCTTCCCCCTCACTCCCCTCCCCTCCGTCCTCATGGGCTTCCCTGCTCTTTTCTCTCCCTCTCGACTGGCTGATGGATCGACGTGAGCAGGCTAAGCAGGCTGGGGTAAACCGAAAAGCCCCTGCCATGGGGGGGCATCTACGGACAAGGCCTTGAGCAGGGAAGGGCCCCCCCCCCCGCGTTGAAACAAGGAAGCAAAAGGGACCCCAGCAGAGGGGCTGCTCCTACGGATGCAAGGCCCACGCACAACGCATCCCCTTTCTTTCTCCTGCGGGCCCAGCTCGCCCTAGGCGCCCCCTTCTCTTCTTGGGCCGGGACTATGAGCCCGCCCACTGCACCTGGCCGGGGTTCGGAGCAGCAGACGCAGGTGGTGGTAGCGGCGGCAGCAGCAGCAACAGGCGGCTTGAAATGGCCAGAGAGAGCCAAGCGTCTCTGGCGGTCCGGTCTCCACAACGTCTTCCCGCTTCCTGTCAGGTGGGGCCGTTGGTCTGCGTGGCCGGAGGCGCATCGTCCTTCTGGGCAGCTGCTGCAGGAGAGAAGACCAGAGGGGGGTCACTTCACGCCCACTGGGTGGGGTGGGGGTTGCAGTCTGCCCATGCTCAGAGGTTTTCCACTGCTCCTCATCATTTTGGGACTAAACTATCAAGAGCCGGGTTGGTGTCGTGGTTAAGTGCGCAGACTCTAATCTGGGGAGAGCTGGGTTTGATTCCCCCACTCCTCCACTTGTACCTGCTGGATGACCTGGGGCAAGCCATAGTTCTGTCAGAGCTGTTCTCTCAAGGACAATTCTGGAAAGAGCTCTCTCACCCCCACCTGCCTCCCAGGGTGTCTGCTGTGGGGAGGGGAAGGGAAAGGAGTTTGTAAACCGCTCTGAGACTCCAAGTGATGGGCCGGGTATAAATCAGACAATAAATAATCCAATCAATTCTTCTTCTTCTATCACGGATTCTGATCCGCCCTGAGCCTGCTTGCAGGGAGGGCGGGGTATAAATCAGACAATAAATAATCCATTTTATCCTCACAACAGCCCTGTGAGGTACGTCAGGCTGAGAGAAGTTCCAGGGGGCAGGCATGTTAGTCCTCAGGGGAACAGCAAGATAGGCGCCCCAGAGCAGCCCAGAGTCCAACCAGAGATTCTGGGTCTAAACTTTCGAAAGTCAAAGCTTCCTGCATTAAATACTCTTGACTCTCAAAAGTTTGTACCCAAAAAAACCTGGCTGGTCTCTCAGAGGTGCTCCTGGACTTGTCTCCAGCAGTTAGGCTGAGAGGGTGTGACCGGCCCAAGGTCACCCAGCAGACTTTCAGGGAAGAGTTGGGATTCGAACCTGGGTCCTCCCAGATCTCGGTCGGACACTCAGTCAGGGGTGTCGAACTCACTGGAAATGTGTTATTTAAAGTTTAAGAAAAAAATCTTTAATTTTGTTTGTCTGTGTCCTTTATAAAGGATATATCTCTGTTACCTGGCAAAGGGTTGGAACACTTTCCCTATGAAGAAAGGCTGAAGCGCTGGGGGCTCTTTAGCTTGGAGAAACGACGGCTGAGGGGTGACGTGATTGAGGTTTACAAGATGATGCATGGGATAGAGCAGGTAGAGAAAGAAGTACTTTTCTCCCTTTCACACAAGACGAGAACTCGTGGGCACTCCATGAAATTGCTGAGCGGTCAGGTTAGAACAGAAAAAAGGAAGTACTTCTACACCCAAAGAGTGATGAACACTTGGAATCCACTGCCACAGGAGGTGGCGGTGGCTACAAGCATGGACGGCTTCAAGAGGGGATTAGATAAGCATATGGAGCAGAGGTCCATCGGTGGCTATTAGCCACAAGGTATAGATAGGAGCTCTCGGTCTGGGGCAAGGGATGCTCTGTATTCATGGTGCTTGGAGGGTGGGGGCAACAGTGGGAGGGCTCCCAGTGTCCTGGCCCCACTGCTGGACCTCCTGAGGGCACCTGGTATTTTTGGCCACTGTGTGACAGAGTGTTGGACTGGGTGGGCCATCGGCCTGATCCAACACTGGCTTCTCTTATGTTCTTATAGGAACTCTTGGTCTGGGGCAAGGGATGCTCTGTATTCTTGGTGCTTGGGGGGGTGAACAGTGGGAGGGCTTCTAGTGTCCTGGCCCCACTGCTGGACCTCCTGAGGGCCCCTGGTATTTCTGGCCACTGTGTGATACAGAGTGTTGGACTGGATGGGCCATTGGCCTGATCCAACATTGGCATCTCTTATGTTAAGCCCTATGCTCATTAAAGCCAATGAATGAAGTGCACCTTTCAGGAAATAGAGATTGAGTGTTGGGCTGGATGGGCCATTGGCCTGACCCAACATGGGCTTCTTTTCTGTTCTTATGTTCTTATGTTCATTACATTTTATGACACACAGGGCCCATCCCAATAAGGTCTCATGTATGTCAGATCCGGCCCCCGTAGCAAATGAGTTCGACAGCCCTGCCTCTAGCCACGACCACATGCCAGCCCTCACAAGTGAATGTCATTTACATACATTTGGGATAGGAATAAGCACCCCTTTAAAGTCCGTAACGCTCCTTTGCTTTTAAACAATGCACACCTTGTGCTGAGAACTCTCCGAGAAGGAATGTTCCTCATGCGTGCCTTCCGGAGGTCAAAACGGGCAGATTTCCCACTGTTCCAAAGGTAAACTCATTGGCAGGTGGCCTGGGCAGCCACGAGAACAGGGCGGGGTCACCCTCTCCTCCTCCCCCCGCCTCCACCCCCTACCCTTTGAAGCTAGGCAGGAACCTGCCGCCTGCAAGGTCTTTTTTCTCGCTGACTCTGTCCTCTCTCGGTTGGGAAAGGAGCTCCCGGCTCAGGAGTGAAGAAAGGAGAATGTGGGCACACCTTGTCCCGAGGTCTCTGTGCCTCCCGAGAAGAGTGCACCTGAATGCCAGAGCCTCTGGCACCGTAACTGGGAGTCCTTGTGCCTGCAGAGGTGTGGTGACCAGAACTGTACACATTTGGAGGACTGTGTACAGTTCTGATCACCACACCTCAAAAAGGATTTTTCAGCATCGGGGAAAGTGCAGAAAAGGGCAACTCGAATGATAAAAGGGTTGGAACACTTTCCCCTATGACAAAAGGGTTAAAACGCTTAGGGCTCTTTAGCTTGGAGAAACGACGACTGAGGGGTGACATGATCGAGGTTGAAAAGATTATGCATGGGATGGAGCAGGTTGAGAAAGAAGTCCTTTTCTCCCTTTCTCACAATACAAGAACTCCTTGTGGGCACTCCATGAAATTGCTGAGCGGTCGGGTTAGGACAGATCAAAGGAAGTCCTTCTTCCCCCAAAAAGTGATTAACACATGGAACTCACTGCCACAGGAGGTGGTGGCGGCTACAAGCATGGACGGCTTCAAGAGGGAATTGAATAAACATCTGGAGCAGAGGTCCATCAGTGGCTATTAGCCACAAGGTACAGATAGGGACTCTCAGTCTGGGGCAAGGGATGCTCTGTATTCTTGGTGCTTGGGGGTAGGGGGTCAACAGTGGGAGGGCTTCTAATGTCCTGGCCCCACTGCTGGACCTCCTGATGGCACCTGGTATTTCTGGCCACTGTGTGACAGAGTGTTGGCCTAGATGGGCCATTGGCCTGATCCAACATTGGCTTCTCTTATGTTCTTATGTTCAGAGAGACATGGTTTTGCCTTGCATCCTGTGGAGGATGACCTGCAGCGTACCCCCACACCTTCTGCTGTCTTGAAGGCAGCCTTGTGGGGCAAAACTTGGTGAGCTGCAACCTCCAACCTCCCCCCCCTCAGGGACCAGGCCAATTCTCTGGGTGGCACCAGGACAGTGCGTTACATACGTGCCAGGAGTTCTCTTCTTCCCTGCACCGCATTCTGATTTTGAGCATGGCACATACAGAGACGGAGAGTCACATGCCGCAGTGCACACCCAGCACCATTCTTACCAGCTGAAAAGGCCTCCCCGTTGGAGCCGCTGTTTGCTCCCGGTGCGCAGGAATAATGGCGACTCAAAAGGCGCCCAAAGGAGCAAAGAGCACCTCTGGCTCACGAGGACTTTGCATCGTGGGGACTGGCCTGAAGAGGGCGCCCGTGGCTTCTCCGGGTTTTTAAACTAATTCGCCATTTCCCAGGTCCTTTTTCAAGCCACGCGGAGGACCCGTGTTGTGGGGGGAGGGAAGCGGTCACAATGCGACTCAAAGATCAAAAGATCTTTAGAACAATCTGCCCAACCAACCAAATGAGCTCAGGGATAACAAGGTAAACTGCACGGGACTCAAGCTGCCCAGGAAGTCCCAGCCAGGGGACTCCAGAGCCTTTACTTAGAGACAGTGTGGTGTACTGGTTAAAGCACTGCCCTAAGACAGAGGTGTCAAACTCATGTGTTACAAGGGCCGGATCTGAGATAAATGTCACTTTGTCGGGCCAGGCCCAGCGTGCCATAAAATGTGATGCCGGGTACCAGAGATATAACCCTTATAAAGGACCCAGGCAAAGCCAATTAACAATAGTAGTTTTTACTCAAAATACAAACAAAAGAAGAAGAGGAGATTGGATTTATACCAAGCCCTTCACTCAGAGTCTCAGAGCGGCTTAGAAACTCCCTTCCCCTCCCCACAACAGACACCCTGTGAGGCAGGTGGGGCTGAGAGAGCTCTTTGGAGGACTGCTCTTGAGAGAACAGCTCTGAGAGAACTTGTGACTGACCCAAGGTCACGCCAGCAACTGCAAGTGGAGGAGTGGGGAATCAAACCTGGTTCTCCCAGATTACAGTCCGCGCTCCTAACCACTACACCAAACTGCAAACGACTTCTAGCAGTGAAAGCAACTGATTTACTGGGGAGCCCACAAAAGCCCGAATAAACATATTTAATCATGTGCAAGACTAGGTTTCCCCCCCAAAGGATACCATAATAGGGGGAGCACCTTACATTTCCATACATACCAGTCGCTCGCAGGCCGGGTAAGAGCTCTGGCCCTCGGGCCTTATGTTTGACACCACTGGCCTAGGATCTGGGGAAACCCAGGTTCGAATCCCCACGTGCCATGGAAGCCGTTTGGGTGACCTTGGGCCAGTCACACACACTCAACTCAAGCAAGGCTCCCTCTAAGCTGTGGAGTCTTGTGAGCAAACATTCTACTTTGTGAGCTGCCACTGGCATTAAAGTTGTGAGCGAGCGATTTGGCTATGGCATAAATTAGCTTGCTCTGGAGCCACATCCTTCCTGAGCTCAGACAAAAAAAGTGTGAGCCGGAGGCTAGAAAACTGAGCTAGCTCACACTAACTCAGCTTAGAGGGAACACTGCTCTCAAGCCTAACCTACCTCACAGGGTGGTTGTGAGGATAAAATGGTGGAGAGGAGAGAAAATGCAAGCCCCTTTGGATCTCCACTGGGGGGAAAGAAATAAAGTAAATTAATGAATTTCAAGATCCAGCTACCTTCTGGGGGCTGGCCGAAAGGGGAGAGGCACTCAGAAACACAAATCTATGGATCCCTGCCCTTCACGTCAGCAGGACCAAGCCCAGCCTGGACGGGAAAGTCCCCAACCCACCCACCACCACCACCCCGTTCACGTACCCATCCGGTGTCTCCCTTTGGCTTCTGCCCGCTCTTTGGCGTCAAAATACCAGACCGTGATGGCGTACCTGCAGAAGAAAGAGGCAAGAGGTGGGCAGAAGCCGGGGCAGATGCAGCCTTCTTCAGAGTAAGGTGCCAAGGAGCAGTTGTGGGGGTGTAATCCGTGGGGGGGGGCGCGCGGGGGGGGGGGGGGATTGGCTCTGCATCCACTTCTGCAAGAGACACACACACCCCGGGCAGACTGGACCCCAGGTTAAGGAGCAGAGTTCCATTTGGGGTCTCCCTCTGGGTGCCAAACCCAGGTCCTAGTGATTGGACACACGCTGCGAATTCTGTGCTCAGAACCCAATTCTTGGGTGTATGGGGGCGGAATCTGAATCAGGACCGGGGTGGGTGGGGAGAGGGGGCTTGAGCCCCCCTTTGGATTTTTTCCCCAACCTGAAAGAGGCTCAGGGGGCACTCTTTGCCCTGTTCGGGACATACGATTATCAGAAGAGCCCTGCGGGATCAGACCAGTGAGGGTCCATCTAGTCCAGCATCCCGTCTCCCACAGGGGCCAGCCAGTTCCCCTGGAGGGCCAGCAACAGGGCAGAGAGGCCGAGGCCTTCCCCTGATATAAGGACACCAGAGGAGCCCTGCGGGATCAGACCAGTGAGGGTCCATCTAGTCCAGCATCCCGTCTCCCACAGGGGCCAGCCAGTTCCCCTGGAGGGCCAGCAACAGGGCAGAGAGGCCGAGGCCTTCACAAGAACATGAGAAGAGCCCTGTTGCATCAGACTAGTGGTCCATTCAGTCCAGCCTCCTGCCTCACACAGGGGCCAGCCAGTTCCTCTGGAGGGCCAACAAGAGGGCAAAGAGGCCGAGGCCTTCCCCTGATGTTGCCTCCTGGCTCTGGGATTCAGAGGTTGACTGCCTCTGAACAGGGATGTTCCCTTTAATCCCCATGGCTAGTAGCCACTGATTTACCTCTCCTCCACAAACCTGCCTGTTTCCCTTTTAAAGCTGTCTGCACCTATGGCTATCACTACTCTATAAATATATACATAGTATAAAAAGCGTGCCTTGCACACGAAAGCCCATACCTGGAATAAACCTTTGTGGGTCTTAAAGGTGCCACCAGGCTCTAAATTTGTTCCACTACATCCTCCGACAGACTGCACATCTGTTTCCCGAACAGAGGAAACAGCCCCCTCCCGGCCATTTCAGGTCAGGGAAATGGTGCAGGGGAAGGTGTTGGAACTGCAAGTTGCTTACACTCCAGTCATTACAGAGTTAAATGTTGTTTGTTAGGAAACACGATGTTACATTACATAATGTACTCTACAGGGAACGTTTGTGGGAGTTGTTTACCCTAATGAAGTGACCTGTAGCCTTTGTATTGGTCAACTAACAACTTGTTTGTGGAAATGCTTTGATCTAGCATTCATGTATTCACATGGCCCTTTGTGTGAACCAAAGTGTTAGTTCTCTTTCTAGAAGCCAAGACAGATAGAAAGATGTAGCATTTATTACTGAGAGTAACTGCAAGTATGTGACCTTTTTTATTTTATTTCTTTTATCCAAAGTACCATACCCATGTTTTATTTTGTTTTTATAGTAAAGATATTTTTCTTTTACTAATGTGGCTCTTGTGTTTGCAATACGACCATCGGCCCTGAATCAAAGAATCCCAACAGAAGGCCACAGCCCCTTCCTCCTCGCTCGCCACGGCCCTGATCCAAATCGGCCCCCGCCCTGCCCCAAGTCGGAGAGGCAGCCCTCACCTCGTGGCGTAGGCCGGCTTCACTTCATGGGGGTTGCGCCGGTCCGACCAGAAGAGGAGCAGCCGGTCGAAGATGGGCTCGATGTTGGCGACAACCTGCCGCCCTTCGGGGTAGATTTGCAGGATCCCACCGTGAACCTGGAAGAGGGGTGGAAACAAGGCTCTTCAGCAGGCGGGTCTGTCGGCACAGAACCCTGAACTCACCAAGGCGGGGGGGCAGCGCTCTCCCCCACAGAGGGTGTCCTACAGAGCTGTGATGCTGCGGATGGAAATGTGAGAGGGAATTCAGGGTAATGCCCCAAGCACTAGTCGCTCTTGTGGAAGGGGAGGGGCTGAACCTTGAACATACATGAAGCTGCCAGTTTGGTGCAGTGGTTAAGTGCGCGGACTCCGGTCTGGGAGAACCGGGTTTGATTCCTCCACTTGCAGCCAGCTGGGTGACCTTGGGTCAGTCACAAGTTCTCTCAGAGCTGTTTCTCAAAGGCAGTTTCTGTCAGCGCTCTCTCAGCCCCACCCACCTCACAGGGTGTCTGTTGTGGGGAGGGGAAGGGGTTTGTAAGCCGCTCTGAGGCTCCGAGTGAAGGGCCATGGGGTGTAAGTCCAATCTCTTCTCTTCTTCTTCTTCTTCTCAGACCCTTGGTTGGTCCGTCAAGGTCGGCCTCGTCTACTCAGGTTGGCAGCCGCTCTCCAGGGCTTCAGGCAGAGAGCGCTCGTCCACATCACCTCCTGCCTGGTCCTTCTAGCTGGAGGCAGAGCCTGGGACCTTCTGCGTGACAAGCAGCTGCTCTGAGCCACGACCCGTCCCCGGTGGCTTTGGAGGCCTGGGGGATTCACCCTCCATTCCCCTCTAGCCATGCTCGCGCCCTCAGACTGAACTCCCCCAGGTTCAAATCACAGAAAGCCATCATGGGGTGGGGGGAGGTTGATGGTGGAAGGCCTCAGCCAGCTTGTGGGCTTTGGGTGTATGTCTCCCTACCTCGCAGGGTTGTTGTTAGAATCAAACAAGTGGGGACCCGCAAGGAACTTGCAGGAGCGGCTATATCCCATCCCCCCCCCACATCCTCTGCTTCTTCTCCACAGTGGGGACTAGAGCAGTTTACATTATTCTCTTCTCTTTGTTATCTACACAACAACCCTATGAGGTAGGTTAGGTTGAAAGTATGTGACTGGTCCAGAATCACCCAGCAAGATGGGGATCTAAACCTGGGTCTTGCAAACTCTGACCATTATACTACACTGACTTTCGTAGGGTTGCCGCTGTTGAACAGGAGCAAGCAGCCAGGCCTAGTTGAAGCATGCAAGTCAGGTGGTATCAAGTCACCCAGAGGGTGCTCAGGCCTAGGTTTGCCAGCCTCCAGGTGGGACCTGGAGAACCCCCAGAATTACAACTGAACTCCAGACAACAGAGAGCTGTCCCCCTGGAGAACATGGGTGGCATTATATCCAGCTGAGGCTTCTCCCCTCTCTAAACTTTGCACTCTTCAGACTTCACCACAGAATCTCCAGGAATTTCCCAACCTTGAGTGGGCAACCGTCGTCCCAGGCCTGGCTCCAAACCCCTTGCTATTTAGCCATTCATACTGCTGGTGGAATCCTCCCCAATCCGCACTCCAGTTCTGCTTTTTGCTTCCTCTCCCCCCCCCCACTATCTCTCACTGACGATGTGGTGGGGGCCTTGAGTAGATCCCTGCGGAGCCCATTTGAAAAGGTATGGGGGGATTCAACCCTCCCTGAGGCTTTTGAAAAAAACTTTTTGGATCTTTTTGCAGAGTCATAGAGTCCCCTGAGTCTGTAAAAAACCCTGTTGGGGGGAAACATGCCCCCTTATCTGTGGAAATAAGTATCTGCACATAGAGGGACTGTTTAGAATTAGATATATACATGAGAACTTATTTTTTTAAAAAAAACAAGAAGAGCAAGAGAAACGACCCAACCAGACCCACAACCCCAGTGTCTCCCCGGCCAAACCTGTGCCAGCTGGTTCACACAGAGGCATCGCCACAGGGCAACGCTCCAACCCAAGTCCAGAAATCAGGAGCGGTGGGGCCCAGAGCTCAAAGGGGTCCCGCCTGCCTTCTTCCAGGCATCCCCTCAAATTCCATTCCTCACCTGCAGCTGCCAGCAAAACCCAGGAGTCCTGCCTCAAAGCCCCCGGTTGGTGGCTCAACCCACACGTCTGTGCTGGAAACCCTCCCCCATGACCAGTGCGGGGGACGTGCTGAAAGAACGGCACTCTGCATATGTTCAGGAGCCCACACTGATTTTTTTTGTCAGTGCCTTGAATGTCCCGCACTCTGGTCCGACTTCTTCTCCCCGCAAACAGTCCCGGAGTCCCTCAATCGGGGGCCGCCCGGGTACCGGCCACAGCTCCCAGGCATCCTGGACTGACGTCTGCCGAACTTGACAATCTAACCCAGGAGTCCTGAACAAACCCCCGAAGGCTGGCGAGGAGGGGAGAGAAGGTGGAGGGGGGAGGCGCTCTTGCACCAGTGGGGAAACGCTGGGGCCATGCATGAGACTCGTGGGGGGGGGGAGGGGCGATCAGGGCAAAGGAGTCTTCTCCAGACCCCACCACCTACCTTGCTATCCCAGTGCCGGTTTAGGTAATAAATGCAGGTGACGCAGCGCCCGTCCCCGCTGGGGTTGTCCACGTGCCGCACATAACCCATGCCGTTGCCGGGGTAACATGCCACCATGGCCTGGAGGGGAGGGGAGGGGGGGACGAGAGAGGAGGGGGGGTTCATTCCCAGGGACAGAGAGAGGACCAGGCACCTCACAGATCCATGGACACCCCCAGGCTGTGCTCACCTCGGTGAGGAAGTGGCCACTGGGGGGGGGGCCAGGCTGGGAGAACTCCAGACTCACCTACTCTGTGGCTCCTTCCGTGGACGAATAAGCAGCATGCTTGGGGAGGGAGTGGGGGGGGGAGGGTGTGAACAGACCGGGAACAGAACGCGAGAGGGGAAGGGTTGCATGCAGAATTTCCAAAATTAAAATGTGCCAGGACTTTGACATAAATAAGCACTGCTAGGTACTTGAAGTATGTAACAACTCATAAATATTTAAGAACATAAGAGAACATAAGAGAAACCAGTGTTGGATCAGGCCAATGGCACATCCAGTCCAACACTCGTGTGTCACACACTGGCCAGAAATACCAGGTGCCCTCAGGAGGTCCACCAGTGGGGCCAGGACACTAGAAGCCCTCCCACCATTGCCACCACCAAGCACCAAGAATACAGAGCATTCCTTGGCCCAGATCGAGAGCTCCTATCTATACCTTGTGGCTAATAGCCACTGATGGACCTCTGCTCAATATGCTTATCTAATTCATAAGAACATACGAACATAAGAGAAGCCAATGTTGGATCAGGCCAATGGCCCCTCCAGTCCAACACTCTGTGTCACACAGTTTGCCAGAAATACCAGGTACCGTCAGGAGGTCCAGCAGTGGGGCCAGGGCCCTAGAAGCCCTCCCACTGTTGCCCCCCCCCAGCACCGAGATGACAGAGCATCCCTTGCCCCAGACCGAGAGTTCCTGATGAATCCATATTTCCTCCCTACCCCTTCTTCCTCCCTTTCTTCCCACCTTTTTTTTTAGAGAAAATAATTTTAAAAATTAAATCAAAACAAGCCCTGCCGGCACTCTGCATGTGCTCAGAGTTCCACCCCTGTAAAGCCTTCAGATGTCCGGCTGCGGAGCTGAGCAAACCTTAACCCAAGAGCCACCCCACCAAACCGCACAGTGGATCCCACCCCCCAACACTCCCAGTGCACAAGGTTACAAAGCCCACCTTGCAAAGCAGAGCACAGCGGCAGGCCCACCCCTCCCCGACCTTCGATTGCGGTTGCCACCTCCGGGATGGAAAACAGCTGGAGATTTGGGGGGCAGAGTCTGAGGAGGGAGGGCTCCAGAGGGGGGCCACAGCAGGGCACGACACCCTTCCAAAACAGACGCCCTTCCAAAACAGCCGTTGTCGGGGGGGGGGGAGAGACAGAGCTCTGTCATCTGCAGTTCATTTATAATAGCGGGAAATCGTCAGCCACCAACTGGTGGTTCGCAACCCAGCCTTCGATGCCCTCTGCAAAGGCAGTGACTCTGCACGCGCTCAGAGGCACACACCACTGTGCAATGCCAGAGCGAAGACCCCTGAGAAACAGGGTCAGGACGCACAGAAAATAAAAGTCTTGGAAGACTGACAGTAATCGGGGCACTGGGGGTGGGGTGAGGGGATGCATGGGAGTTGCAAGGGGGGGATTTTTTAAAAAAGTATACACGAGGGGAGAGCAGAGAGAACAGTTTGCTCCCAGGTAATTGGGGAGGGGACAGGCAGCAGGGCAGCCCAGGAGGACAGCTCTGTGCCCCCCCCCCCAAAAAAAGCCAGCGGAAACATCACCAAGCGAAGGCTCTGCAATCCAGGCTGGAGCTTGCCCTGAGATGCCCCCAACCTCCTCCCTCTCCCCCCCCAAGAAGAGCTGCTGCAGCCAATCGGCACTGCAGAAGCGGGGGGGGGCAGAGGAGGAGGGAAAAGACAGCCCCCCCCCTCGCCACACTTCCCTTGTCAAGAGGATGGAGCGTCCTGTTCCAGGGAGCGAAAAGGACATCTAGTCCCAGTGGCGGCAGCGAGGAGGCAGGATCCGCTCCAAACCGGGCGTGCAGGGTCACCCGAGGACAACAAGACAGTGTGCTCCTCCTCGCACTACGCACCACCCCAGCCCAGCTGCTCTGCTGGTGAGGTCCCCCCCCTTGTGGTCTCTCTTTCTCACTTGGGAGGGGGCCTCTGGCAAACTGGGGGAGGGGCGGTGGTTCACGACGGGACCCAGGCCTCCTGGCTCCCAGTTCACACACACACAGAGAGAGAGAGAGAGTGGGGAAGCTACGACAGCACAAGCAATAAAGCCGCTCCCACACACACACACACACATGAAGTTTTGGACCCCCCCCCCCCCCCGCCTGCATTAAGACCTCACGGCTGCCAAACGGATCCAAGACAGGGACCCTGCATCCCCTTCTGGAGCGATGCTCCCTCTAAGCTGTGGAGTCTGGTGAGCCAAAATTCTACTTGGTGAGTTGCTGGCCTTAAAGTGGTGAGCGAGCTGATGTGGCTGCTGCATAGATTGGTTTGCTCTGGAGCCCTCCTTCCTGAGCCGAGACGAAAATGTGTGAGCCGGAGGCTAAAAAGGTCCCGGCTGCTGTGGGGCAGGATTAATGTTCCCTCTAAGCCGTGGAGTCTGGTGAGCAAAAATTCTACTTTGTGAGCTCCGGGCATTAAAGTTGTGAGCCAACGATTTGGCTGCTGCATAGATTAGTTTGCTCTAGAGCCACGTCCTTCCTGAGCCAAGAAAAAAATGTGTGAGCTGGAGGCTAAAGAACTGAGAGCTAGCTCACACTCACTCAGCTTAGAGGGAACACAGCTCCTAAGCAAAACAGACAATACTGACCTAGGGCGGCTTCGTCCCCAACCCTCAGGTATCATTGCTCCAATCAGTTGCCCAGAGGGGGGGGAAGGGGGGCCTACAGGAATTCCGGGAAGAACCGAAGGCAGCCCAAGTCTTCCTGGAAAACATGGATCACTTTCTCTCCTGGGAAGCCAGCCTCCCGCCCCCTTACCACGAGGCAGATCTTGTGACTGGTGGCACATTTAACACCCCCCCCAACCCAAGCCTGTGCCACTGCCAAAGTGAGGGGGAGAGTAAAGGGGGGGGACGACAACCGCTCCAGTTTCACTCAGGTTGTTTTCCAGCAACTATTGCACAAGAAGAAATCCCCCCCCCCCAAGAACCATGCTGGAAATGCTGCTAGATTGGTGAGGGCAGCCCCGGATGGGGCTTTTGGAGAGTCCAGATCTCAGCAAGCCCCCCCACCCACCCAGGCAAGGATAAGGCCCCCCCACACCCACTGAGATGGCCAAGAAGACGCCTCCCTAACAGGACTCAGGGAAACCCAAACAGACTCCCCCAAAAAAGTGAGACCCAGGGGGAAAGCGCTGGGGGTGCGGGGGGGGGAGCTTGGGCAGGCTGGAACTTGGCCCTGAAGGATCAGAGCCCCTCCCTCTGTGCAGAAAAGGCACCCACACTGGCCCCAGGAGGAGTCCCCTCCAATGCGTCCTCTAAGCTGTGGAGTCTTGTGAGCAAAAATTCTGCTTTGCGAGCTGCCGGCATTAAAGTTGTGAGCCAGCGATTGGACTGCTGCCTCAATCAGTTCGCTCCGGAGCCATCCGTCCTGAGCGGAGACAAAAAATGTGTGAGCTGGAGGCTAAAAGAACTGTGAGCTGGCTCACCCTAACTCAGTTTAGAGGGAACACTGGTCCCCTCTGCCGGAGAACCAGCCACCAGTGTGAGGACGTGTGAGCCAGCTCACAGTTCTTTTAGCCTCCAGCTCACACATTTTTTGTCTCCGCTCAGGACGGATGGCTCCGGAGCGAACTGATTGAGGCAGCAGTCCAATCGCTGGCTCACAACTTTAATGCCGGCAGCTCGCAAAGCAGAATTTTTGCTCACAAGACTCCACAGCTTAGAGGGAGCATCGCCAGCCACGCTGGGTGGATCTTTTGGGCCAGGCCAGGCCGAAGACCCCCAAGACCGCCTCCTGCAAGGGACGGAGGAGGAGGGGGACAAAGGAGCAAGTGGCGCTCTGGGGTCAAAGGCGAGCACGCAAGAGGAAACCGTCACCACAGGAGAGCGAGGGATTTGCCTGCCGTTGCCTAGGCAACCCCAGCTGGAACCAAACGGGCTCCCTGTTCATGGCCATCAGTGGGGAGGGGTGCTCTGCCCATGGATTGGGGGGGGCACCAAGTTCTGCTGACTCCTGGCCTAAGAAATCCCTCCGCCCTCTTGACTAAAGCTCCATTGGGGTCAACATTCTGAAAACAAAACGGTAGCAACAGAAACCGAAGCGGCCTGGCAGCAGTGCACGTCCAGCACCCAGAGAGGAGGGCGGGGGTGGCTGCGGATACTAACTTTGTATGCAGGCACTCTGCACATGCTTAGACACGCATGCGCACACAGGGTTTGTGGCCAGGCCCCGGCTTCGGGGGAGCCCGTCAGACCAAGCAGGACCCACGACTCCAGCATGAATGCTTGGGGGAAAGGGAGAGCAAGAGACGCCGGAAAGGAGCGGCCATTGCTGGCAGGCTGAAGGGGGGAGGGAGAGGCACCTTTCCAGATTAGCAAAGGAACAGCATGAGACACTTGGTGCAAGCGAGAAGTGAAATTCCACGTTGTGGACTGGTGGGGCCTGAGCCCCCTAACTCTGAGCACCGAGCAAGATTGGGCTGGTGTGTCTCGTAACCTGATAGAATTGCACATTGTGCATGCTCAGAGACAATCTTTCCAGGGCTCTGCCTGGCGTCCTCCAATCAGTTCACTGGGTCCCTGACCCCTGGGAAGATCCCCTACCCCCGCACATGAATCCACCCCACGATCCAGCAGCAGCTGCCGCCTTCACACCCGGCCCACTCTGGGGAAGCTGAAAAGACCTGCAAGGAGGACCCCGAAAAACAGATCCAGCTCAGCTGGAATAAATTAGCAAATTTAGGCAGCAGCTGCTGTTGCAGACCTTTATGCCAACTCTGCCCCGTGACCAACAAGGTGCCCAGCGGTGTTCCCCCTAAGCTGAGGGAGTGTGAGTGCGTTTCTGTCTTGGCTCAGGAAGGAGGGCTCCAGAGCAAATTCACTGATGCAACAGCCCAATCGCTGGCTCACAGCTTTAAGGCCAGGAGGTTCACAGAGTAGAATTGTTGCTCACAGGACTCCACGGCTTAGAGGGAGCACTTGGTGCCCAGCTACAGGAGAAGAAGAACAAAGAGCTGCAGGGCTTTGTGACCTAAGGCCACCTTTCGCATGCGGGGGGGGGGAGCACAAGCAGGAAGCAGCCAGACCCAGAGAGCACCTGACCTCCCCCTCCGCCCTCAGCCTGGTGGAAACCCAAGTCTGGAGTCTCACTTCCCCCCCCCTTTTGGCCCCAGGCCCCCCTTCCGGGGGGGGGGGGGGGGGGGAGCACAAGCAGGAAGCAGCCAGACCCAGAGAGCGCCTGACCTCCCCCTCCGCCCTCA